TGCGATATCCTGCTTTTACTTTGAATGTTTTAGTTCCTTTCTTGAATGGGTGGTGAGAATGGAGTCTGGTCACAACTCCCTCCTTCATTACCTAGACGATTTTTTGTGTGTTGGTCCCGCGCACTCCTCAATCTGCGCACATATTTTGCAGTCATTGGCGGATGTGGCCTCTGGGTTTGGTGTGCCTCTGGCGCCCGACAAGACAGTTGGCCCTTCCACGTGCCTGTGTTTCCTGGGAATTGAGATTGATTCAGTTATCGGGGAATGTCGGCTCCCAGTGGACAAACTGGTGGACTTACGGGGGTCTGTGCGGGAAGCGGGCTCCTTGCGAAAGATCACTCTTCGACGCCTTCAATCCCTCTTAGGCAAGCTGAACTTTGCCTGTCGGATCATGCCTATGGGCAGAGTATTCAACAGGCGCCTGGCGGCTGCCACGGCTGGAATTTCGAAGCCCTTACATTTCATCCGCTTAACCAAGGCGCTCAGGGACGATCTGGTAGTCTGGGCTGTTTTCCTTGAAACTTACAATGGAAGGTCTTGTTGGCAGCAGCCTGAGGTTTCAAATGCCGCGCTTCACTTGTTTACAGACGCTGCGGGTTCCTCTGGCTTTGGGGCAATCCTGGGGCCTCATTGGTGCGCAGAGCCGTGGCCTGTATCGTGGGTCGATTCAGGCCTTACCAAGAACTTGGCGTTCTTGGAGCTCTTCCCCATCTTGGTGGCTGTTCACTTATGGGGGATGGAGCTCAAAGACAGGCGCGTCGTCTTCCACTGTGATAACCTGGGTGTGGTTCAGGCCATCAATAACCTGACGGCCTCTTCCCCTCCGGTGGTTAGGCTATTGCGTCAATTGGTTTTGCGATGCTTGTCTCTGAACATAACGTGCCGTGCTGTGCATATTCCTGGGGTCATGAATACCACGGCTGACTCTCTTTCTCACTTTCAATGGCAGGTGTTTCGGAAAGCCGCTCCGGGAGCAGACTTGGAAGGCCTCCCCTGTCCCGGAGAACTATGGTCCCTTGGCCTGAGCGGATAAGGGAATGGATACGGTCCTCGGTGTCTGAGGCGACTTGGGTCCGGTATGGTAAGGCTTGGGGGGAATGGGTTGCTCTTGAGCAGGATCATGGAGGCTACGCTTCCCCGGCGGAACGAGTTCAAGGTTTGTTACATTTGCTTTGGTTCTGGGAGGCTTGCGGGTGTTCGCCGGCTACTGTTTCTGGGAAGCTTTCCGGTCTTAGTTTCTGGTTTAACTTAACTCGGGTGCCGGATGTCACTAAGGATTTCTTGGTTAAACTTGCGATGCGTGGTTGGCGTAGGGGCCCTCGTGGGCAGGATTCTCTTGGCCGGTTTCAGGGGCATTGCTGCTAGGAATTGCCTCAGTGCTTCCGCAGATATGTTATTCTGCTTATGAAGCCAGTTTATTTCGGTTGGCCTTTATTTTTGCCTTTTTTGGGGCCCTCCGGATTGGGGAACTAATCAGCCCTAGCAGGGGGATTCCGGGGGGTTTGTTATTTCACGATGTGTTCCTCTTGGATGGTGCGGTGCGTTTCTTGATACGACGGTCTAAAACTGACGTTGTTGGAAAGGGTCGCTGGGTTACCCTTCGCACCATCCCTAATTCGTCTGTTTGCCCAGCCTCTGCGTTTCAGTCCTACTGCTCCATACGCCCGAGTCTTGCGGGTCCGTTGTTAATGCACGAGGATGGTACTTACCTGTCTCGTTTTCAATTCCTCCGGGTATTTCGCTTGGCACTCGATATGCTGGGAATCCCGAGTGGTGAATTTGGGGGTCATTCCTTCCGGATTGGGGCAGCTACTGAAGCTTCTCGGTTGGGTTTCTCTGATCAAGTGATTCAGAGGATTGGGAGGTGGGAATCTGGGAGGTTTCGTTCTTATATCCGGCCCACGCGTCTGATGGGTGCCCCCCTTGTGTTTTCTCCGCAGGGCCCGGCCGACGGATCTGGCTGATTGGGCATTCGTATATCTACTGGGCCCACCTGCGGGCAGGGGTACGCCCGGGTGGGACGCGACTTGGAATTCCCCGGGAGCTGGCTGAGGTCCGATGGTTCGGTTTTCGGGGCATGCGCTGGGGCCAGCTCTTGCCGGAGGTGTTACAGTTAGCCACATTGTTGGGGGCCCCTGATGTATTGGTGATACACCTGGGGGGAAACGATCTTGGGGCGCTGCCTGCTTGGGGGCTTGGTGAGCTCATTAGAAGGGATTTGGCGCGCTTGCTAGTCCTTTTCCCACAGCTCTGCTTAGTCTGGTCAGGTATAGTATCTAGGAACTATTGGCGCCGCGCGAGGGATCAGGGGGCGATTGAGCGCTGCAGGGTTAAAATCAACAAGAGGGTGTCCAAATTTGTACTCGGGGTTGGGGGTGTCACAGTGCGACACCGGATATTTGAAAAGGAAGCGGCGATCTATTTTCGCCCAGATGGGGTTCATCTCACGGATGTGGGTTTAGATTTATTTAATCTGGCGCTGCAGGACGCGTTAGAGCAGGCCATGGCGTTGGTGGGGAGTCGCGCCCGCTGATTTAGGCTTAAATGCAGCAGGCGCTAGTGGCGGGTATGGTCCTTGCCAAACCAGTTGGAAAACGAGTACACTGGAAGAAGGAATGCTGGGTCTGGTCCCTCCCCTAACCTCGGAGAGTTGTGGTAATTGGGCGTGCTCCCCGTGCCAGTAAAAGGCGGCCAGGGGTTGGCATGGGGTATTGGAAGGCCAAGGTAAAAGGCCTGTTATCTTGGACGAGGGGGGAGGGCAGGTACCCTGGAAGGGGGTACTCTAGAGTTATTATGGGTCGGTTGGCAAGGACAAGTTCTCGAGTAAATTATTGGTTGATTTATTTATACTTGTTATTATAAATAAAGCTGTGGCCTGTTTTATACCACACTTATGTCTCTTGGTTTTAATTGGGGGGAAATCGGGAAAATGTAATTATGATTGCATTGGTTCGCACCACACAGTAACCACTACCTACACACATGTCTTAACCTTAAATGTGGACTCAGATGCTGGCATACATTTCTGATGGTTAATTCTAGCTGCAGAGTAGTAAGACTTATTGAAAGTTGTTCATTAAAGCAAAAAACCTGATTCCAATTTGTGTCCCTACACATAAGAATATCTATACAAAGGGAAAAATATAGGAACCACTAAAAACTACTATCATATAAAAACCATGTACAGTGCAAAAATTACATGAAAAGATATCTCTAGTTAATATAGATAGTAGGGGATCCTAACATATATATAAAGATAAATATGGTACTAAGTGTAAATATGTACCTACTAGTCAAGAATGCAAATTCCCACTCCAATTTAAACACTGTAGGAATGGATTCATATGGTTAAGTGTGATATGCATAATTATATAATGTAGGCTGACAATAGTTTTAATTTGTTATAATATATTAGCTAATTCTAGCTCTGCATTAAGACCTGAAGGAATCAGGGTCTTAAGTGTGTAAATCCAATACATCTCCCGGTATGTTAAGGTTTTCCTCAATTCGCCTCCTCTCCATGGTATTTCTATCCTTTCTATACCACAGTATGATAGAAGTGTTGGATCTCCATTATGGTGTATTTTAAAATGATTGGAGAGGGAGTGTTTTTCAAAACCCCTTTTGATGTTATAGACGTGTTCTCTGAGTCTAATTTTCAGTGCTCTTTTAGTTTGACCTACATATTGGAGGCCGCAAGGGCACTCCAACCTGTAGATAACTTGTTTGGTGTTACATGTAATACAACTTTTAATGTCAAACGTTTCTTTTGTAACCGAGGACTGAAAGGTGGTATAATTTTTCCCTCTAGAACTTGATTTACATATATTACAGTCTCCACACTTATAGAAACCTTTTTGTCCACTTAAAAAATGATTGGGTCTTGTGGGTTTATTATAACTGTGTACCAATCGGTCTTGCAATGTAGGGGCCCCCCTAAAAATTACCATCGGTTGTGCAGGTAAAAGGGTAGCTAGAATCGGGTCCTGTCAAAGCAAATGCCAGTGCTTTTGTATGCTTGTTTTAATATAATTTGCTTGTGCACTATAATTAAACACTAAAGGGCACAGATTTTCTGCATCTTTATCTGTTTTGACTTTCCCCTGTTTGGTTTGTAAAAGGGTTGTACGTTCTATACTGCTTACTTTCTGGAGAGCTACTTCCAGTGTTTTTTCGTTGTAATCTTTTTCTATAAATTGTTGTTTGACAATTAAGCTAGAATTAACCATCAGAAATGTATGCCAGCATCTGAGTCCACATTTAAGGTTAAGACATATCTAAGAATATATATTGGTTTAAGTTAGTGATATCCACAAGTATTCTGTTTGCATATGTACACCATTTTCATTGTTTAGACTATTTTATGTCTTGTGTTTTTGTATGGCATTAGCAGTTTAAGCTTAGCCTATAATACATTAGACGAATATTGTTTTTAATATGTATGAGTTTATATGCATAGTTGGGAAATTATGTGTTCCCGTTTGTATAAACCATTGTATTTGTATTTTATTTCGATATGTTTTATAATAAGGGGGTGTATACCCTTAAGGAATTTGAATTCATTTTGCCCGGCAAAATATAAAACTGCCGAACAAGACTTTTAGCACCTATCTTGAAAAAGCCCTCGTTAGAAGGGCGAAACGCGTTGATAGGGTGCTATCATCATTTATCCAGAAGATTTTCGAGTTCACATACTTCACTAACGCCAGACAGAAGTCGGACCTCCAGCCAGCGTTTTCCCATCGAGAACATTACAGACAGCCCTCCCGAGTGCACCGAGAGAGGGGCTATCCTTAATAGAAACACGAAGGGACGCAAAGGATTTTCTTCTGTTTGATCCATCACGATGAGTATTTTATTATATACAGGGTACGAGTTTTTATAGTTGGGGGGTTTTCTCTCCTTTTTGTTTATACTTCCTGGGAAATTAAACTTTTGATACAGTATCACGCTATGTATATCTCTTTGTTTCTTTTTTTCTAAGGTATCACTACATGCTTCTGAGCTCCTGTATATTACAACGTTATCTGGATTGCAGGACTCTGTTACTGAACTATACTTTTTGGATACTTCTTGTGCTAGACTTTTTCATTTGTTTGCATATATATGCACCTTTTTAATTTTAAGGGGACTATCTACTAAGCACTGAAAAATTTATATGTACATTTGTTTTATGAAATGGGAAATTTCTTTTTATTTTAGCAGCTATCATTGTTTGAGTATATTAGGTTTTATTCCTATTGTTTGATCTGGACCACATGTAAATTATTACGAAGGTTCTTTATTTGTTATGCATGCGCTCTCTTTTTAATTAGTTACTGAGTTTAAATACCCTGCTAATGTCTGATCAGGTTCAGGTGCAGCACAGCCAAATTCAAGGTACAGCCCCCAGAGTGATAGAAAAGCCAGGATGAACAGGACCGGAATGACTTGCAGAATACAAAAGCTGCTGTGGCTCAGAGGTAGGAAGCAGGACCAGGACTGCAAAGTTCCCCAGTTCAAGTCCCTTGTTGGGATCTCCATGGGTGACCACGTCTAGCCGTCTGTTTGATGTGGCGAGAACCGTGACAGTACCCCCCCTTCAAGAACACCCTCCGGGTGTGATTTGGTTGCTCATCATTACCTTCCTCCTCTGAGAGATCAAATACATCATCAGGCAGGAGGTATGTTTTTCCATAGGCATCCATGCCATACGTACGGCCTTCTTCCAGGTTAGAGGTGAACACAGCACCTACTGTAGCCTTTGCTCTAGTAGTTCTCACAGGGGAGGTATTTGCAGCTTTCAATGCTTTTTCAAGTATTTCTAGATCCTGTTTGCATACAACTGTGCCATTTGAGGCATACGTGCAGTCAGGTGGCAGAACTTCTTTGGCAAGTCAGGAAGTGGTAATGGTGCTTGCTTGAGCAGAAGTGTCATCAGGAAGAGGTCTAGATGTTTCTGGAGCAGGAGGTGGAGATACCACAGGGGTACTGGTTGCAGGTTCTTGTGGGACACTGGTAACATTGACTGTAGTAGTTTGGGTACCCTTTTGTGTCACAAGACGGGGACACGGCTGGCATGCAGTGTACACAGGGTGGAGGAAAGTAGTACCCAGTCGGAGAGCTGGAGGTCT